AGAAAGGCCTGGCAATGAGAGAGAGCTGGGAAAGAGAGGAAAGAGCTAGAAAAGAGCAGAGAGAGGGGTAAGAACAGTAGCACTCACGTGGTATTCAGGTATTCAGAAGACCTGCTGGGACCAGGCAAGGTTGGCACTCCACGTGGCTGGGAAAGAGAGAGGAAAGAGCTAGAGCAGAGAGAGAGCAGAGAGAGCTAGAAAAGAAGAGCAAGAGCAAGAGCAAGAGAGCGTCTGGGCCTGGGCTAGGCCTTATGTAGGGTATGGGCGGGGAAAGGTGTGGCCACATCAAATTCAGATGTGACCTCAGCGGATGCAGATGTGACCTCTTCCAGGTGTCCCAGTTGCCTAGGTAACGCAGGTAATGGGTGGAGACTTTGCTGCGAGGAGGGTGGAGTCTGCTAGCTATCCAGGAGCGGACCTTACATTCCAGCCTTTTAATAATCATGAAATAGGGCGCGGATTCTCTCTGGCTACTTCCTGCTGATAAGGGGCGTCGACAATAGGGGTAAAAGGCTGGAATTTGGTCCCCTCCCAGAGAAGGCAGTGAGCAGCAGCTGTCCCTTGGTGGCGTGAGTCCTTAGGTGAAGTATGGATATCCTTAAGTGGGTTTCTGTACCTAGTAATGAAAGGCTAACTTGTACAATCTGTTTTGTTTCCCATTTTAAATTTAATTTCCTGTATTTTCTTACATTTCATGTGTGTGTGTGTGTGTGTGTGTGTGTGTGTGTGAGAGAGAGAGAGAGAGAGAGAGAGAGAGAGAGACGGGGTCATGCTACTTGGGCTGCCCTTGAATTTCTGGCCCCAGGTGATCATCTTCTAAGTCATTGGGACTACAGTTAGGTCTACTATGTTTAGCTTAAGAACCAAATTTAATAATCAATCTTAATAAATGTATTTATTTCATTCCCTTATGCGTACAAATAATTCAACAAGGAATTTCCCTTGGAAGCTTTTATATGGAGAGTAAATAATGAATTCTACAATTTCCTTTTGTAGATAACTTCCTGTTTAATGCAACTGTAGCCGGTTTGGTCAGCATTACTTCTTGATCAAATGTTCTGTTTTGATGGATTTTATTTTATTTTTTTCTTGATGGATTTTAAATAATTGTATCCAACCTTCCATAACAATAGTAATATCTGACTGAAGGTTGAGTTTAACATTAGGTGCTTGAATATATTCTGGAAAATTATAACTACTGAAAAGAATCATGTCAGAGTTGCTTTTTTCTTGGCTCTACTGGGTTTGAACTCAAATCCTTGCCCTTCTAGACAAACACTCTGCCACTTGAGCCATATCACAGCCCACATTTTTAATATTATTTATGACAGTGCTTGATAATTCAGAGTCAATTATCTGGGACTCATTTTCAGGAAAGATTCTTCCTTTTCTGAATGGCTTTGTATTCTATCTTTCCTACCCAAAATGTTGACTATAAATTGCGTTGCTTATCACAGAAATCAGATTAACCTAAACAGTAGGATTATTGTTTATTGATGAAAGGATTACCCTTCTTAATGTCGGGAAGGAAGTTTCTCCACAGTAAAACATCAAAAAATATTAACCACTGTAAGGATGAATGTTTAACCATGCTTTTAAAACTTTAATATTACTTTACACAAATCTCTTGGAGATCTTGTTAAGTACAGACTGTGACTCACTAGTTTTTAGACGGGGGCCTGACGGTATCACGTGCCAATTTTATGGATTTGGAGAACTCATATAACAAAAGCATTCAGAACTCTGATATTTGAAGTAGGTGTGGTTAATATTTGATATCTATGAGTGTTTGGAGATCCCTTTTTTTCTGATATTTCCCATAGTTAAGGTATTGAGGTTAAATAAGATGGTTAAATTAGAAGGTTGTTAAATTGTTTTTATGCATAAGGGGAGTGAAATAAATACATACAACACTTTGGCTTCATTTCTTGAGGTCGAATATTAAATTTAGTTCTTAAGCCAAACATGGCAGCCCTACCTGTAGTCCCAATGATTTACAAAAGGGAGATCATCTGGGATCAAAAATCCAAGGGCAGCCTGAGTAACATAGGAGGACCCTATCTCAGTACTAAAGATGTGTAGTACTAAGCTAATGTGTATCTGTGGACATCCAGATAGGGGGATGGGCGAGAGTGGGAAAAGACTTGGCTTCGGTAGGTTTATATGATTCTATGTTTCTTCAAAGCAGAAATTTACACAAGCTGTTTATAAATAAATAATGTAGAAAAGTTTTTCAGAAAATAATCATACTTATCAATAACTTAGGTAAGTTAAGTTAATGTGAAGTCATGAAGTGAAAGCTGAAGTTTATCAACACTGAAATGAGAAATATTTTTATTCATTCCTCTCTTTGAGAGGAATGTAGTCCTAGTTAATACTGCCTTGGTTGAAATCTAATGTAAATCTTTGCTTAATTTTTATAGGAATGTCAATACTATTGTGACTTTATATGAAAGTTTAGACATAAAGTGTTAAAGCCCCAGAAGTTGTCAGAAATAAAACAGAACAGAACCGGTTATCTCAGAATAATACCATCCACAAAAATCCTCCAAATAAATATGTACTCTGAAGCATTTATCAAATGTGCATTATGTGCAGTGAATATACTATTTTGTGGAAAAATATTTCTAGGAAAACAAAAACTTAAAAAACCTGCTACACTTAGCTTGGCATGAGTAGTTCACACCTATAATCCTAGTTACTCAGGAGGTTCAGATCTGAGGACTGTGGTTCAGAATCAGCATGGGCTGATAAATCTGCAAGTCTCGGATCTCTAATTTACCAACAAACACGGTGGAAACAGAGGCCTAGCTCCAAAGGTAGAACACCAGCTGTGAGAGAAATAGCTGAATGACAATTCAAGGCCCTGAGTTGAAGCCACAGGACTCCCACAACCAACTAACATACTAAAAAGGATACTGTATAAGAAGCAAATAAACAACAAAACCAAACCAAACCACATGGACTTTTCCTATAGTTGACCTCTTCCCTAAGACATCTACCAAAACAAATAATTGGGTCAGTGTTTTTCAGAGATTTATTGAACACGATGCAGTGCAGGGAAGCAAACTCTGAGGAAGAGGAAAGAAATGCGGTGAGCACCATTACCAGTGTCTCCCATGGGTGTTTCAATAGTTTCCGGGTCCCAGTGCAATCAAAGGGACCCAGGCCTATCCCTGTAATCTCACAGAATTGAAGAGATGGAGTTGGTCATTTGAGCAGACAGAGCAGATAAATGTGTGGACCCAAAACTGGCTTGGCTTTATCCTGCTTAACTTTATTCAAACGATCTAGCCATACTGAGTCTCAGTTTATTACCTGCAAATAGAGATAATTATGACCACACTGTGTAGTTATGGATATTGAATTAAAAGTCTGATTTGAGTATCATTTATAGATACTTTAAATTGAGCCTTGACTTGTATTTTATTTGCATGCTTCATATAGATTTGCATGAGAGGAAATCTGATATTAGTAGAGAACTAGCATATATCTCAGGCAGGCCCTGAGGTCCAGGAGACCACAGGCAGTATAAAAAGGAGCAGATTAGTATCAAGAAAACTGAACAGTAACCACAACTTTCAGGAAATCAGAGGAGATACCAGAACTTTAAGGGGAAACTAACTTCTCTAAAAGCAGAGAAGAAACTGCATGGTAGAGCATGTCTATAATTTTAACTACTTGAAACACCAAAAGCTCAAGGTAAATGAGGCCCTGTTTCAAAAACAAAAGGGCTGGTGGAATATCTCAAGTGGTATAGTGCTTGCTAAGGTGCTCTGGGTTCAATCTTAAGAATAAAATAAAAATAGACGCGGCAGAGAAGTACTCTTTCACTCATTTTCATTTTCTTGTAGCATTGACATCCTTTGCCTATGGCTTTTTCTCTTCTTGATTGTTTTCTTTTGTTTGGAGATACTGGGGTTTAAAACCAGTGCTAGAAGATCTTTTGAGCCCACACCCCTAGCCATTGTGTGCTCTTAGTTATTTTCCAGGCAGGGTCTTGAGTCTTTGCCTTGGTGGACTTTGAGACCCTCTTAGCTACCACATCTTACTAAGTGGGATCCTAGTAGACCTTAACCCGTATTTCAAGCTTGGTATTTGAGATGGAATCTCACTAACTTTTAACCCTGATTGTTCTAATCCACAATATTCCCTTGCTCAGCCTCTGGAGTAGCTGTCATTAGAGATGTGAACCACCAGATCCTCTGGCTTTTAAGGAGGTATAGTTAGGAGGATGGTTGTGTGTGCACCGGCTGGAAAACTGTAAGAGCCTGTCGGGGAAAATAACCTAAAGCAAAAGGGTTGGTAGTGTAGCTCAAGCAACAGTATTTGCTGTGTCCCTTGGTTCAAACCCTAGTACCACCCATGACTTTAATAATGACTTTATTTTCTTTCGTATCAGAGACTGAAACTCGATACACGCTGATTTTTGCTTTTGTTTGCCTAAAAACTAGTCTGCTTTGCATACGTGGTCCCAGTCTGTCAAAATAATCTGTGGAAAACACACACACACACACACACACACACACTGATTACAGGAGCAGATAAGATAATTATGTGCAGTCCTAAATTCTCCAAACACGATTAGATAGTAAGGACCACCTTAGGACCGACACTTGGGGACACAAATCCTTGGAGTGTCCACAAACCCAGGAGATCCAAACCAGCACTCCTCGTCAGAGGTCAGGAGATTCCCATGGTCACACCCAGAAAATTCCTTAACTTACCCCCGCCCCCTCCCCAGTTACCTCTGGGGAACCTGGGGTGTCAGAGGCGGGGGACACAGGTGGACGATCGCGCATGATTAGCCTGTCCACGCGCACGCGGGACAAGTGCACAAACGCGCGCTCTGGTCTCCTGCGGGGGTGTGGGGTGGGTGGGGGCGGTGTGAGCTCCTCGGTGACGAGTTTGCAGGGAGGGCGCGCTGCGCTCCGGGGGCGGGGCCGGGCCGCCCCCCCTCCCGCCCCCCGCGTCGCTGCCTCTGCCTGGCGGAGCCTCAGCCCCGGAGCTCAGACGCGCCCCGCATCCCCGCGCACCGCACAGGCGAGCGGGAGCCTGGAGCCCCAGCTCCCGGCCGGGCGCGGCGAGGCTGTGCGCGCAGCGACTTGGCCGGCCCCGGCCCCGCCGGCATCTGTGAGCGCCCGCGGGTAAGCCAGCCCCTCGTGGGCTGGGGTGGGGGGAGACGGGGGCGACCGAGCCATCGAAAACGAGGTTACGTGCAACTTTCCCCTTTTCCGCCCGACCGGCACAAAAGCAGATGTCCGCTTTTGCTCGGTTGACCAGAGCCTGGTCAGAGCGCGAGCCCGGGCACTTCGGGGGTGGGAGGGGCGCGCTCCGGTCGACAGACCTAACTGCGGAGCTCGGCCACTTGGCACGGAAGGCGGCCCCCGGTGACCTCCGGTTACAAGCTGCCCTTCGCGCCCGCAGGGCCACGTCGTTTTCCTTTCCCAAGCCCCGGGCAACAGCCGGCGGCCACCGGGACGGCAGAGATCCGAGTTCTAACCGGCTCTGCCAGCATCTCGCCCTGTGGCTTCGGCCAACTCACCTTTCCCTACCGGTTTCCCTCCATTCTTTGATAAATAGGTGGGTGAGTCAACCAATGGCCTCAGGGGTCCCCTACCGCGATTAGACGTTTCCCTGGCCCTAAGACCCTGGCAGCAAAACTGGGAGGCCAAGGGGAAGGTGGCAGCTGAGAGACTCAAGCAGAGGGCCCGGGTCCTAGCTGCTGCGACTACTGTTGCTTCCAGCCCTCTTGTGGAAGGTCCTGAGATGCCTTCCTGGTGGAAAGGACAGAGATCGCTGCCCTGGCCCACTTCCCAGACCCCCATGGCCCTTCCTCGGTAAGGCTGAGATGGCAGGGTTTATCCCATCGCCTAATTTCCTCCAGGAGAAAGCAGCTCATCTGAACTTGGACGGAGAAAGAGTCAGGCATCTGAAATGGATAGGTACATGGGAAACACTCAAACAAACCCCGGAGTAAACTAAGACCTGGCAGGTGGTTATGATTAGCCGGTGTCTGCAGGTGTAGAAGCTGGAGACCGAGAGGCTGATGAACACGCACACAGATGTTCACCCTGAAACAAACAAAAGCTGGAAACAAACAAAAGTGGCAGGGTATTGGGTTCAACTTACTCTTGAGTGTTGGGTTTCTCTTTATGTACTTTTGAGATTAAAAAATCCGTCTGCCCACTCTACCTTCCTTACTGACAGTACACACCTAGGAACTTGAATATAAAAAGCTCAGAGTTTGCATTATTAAAATGGGAACTGAGTGGCTATCAGCATCGCAGGAGGCCCTGGGATGGATGCCATATGTTCTTGGACAGAATTTTAAAATCGTTGTTTCCTACTAGTGTGTCAGACACTTCCAATGCCCTCCTACTGACACTTATGTCAAGACGGTCCATTTTCTAAAAATGTACTGAAAGTTCAAATCATTCAAGTGTGAAGAGAAGTATAATTTCGAATAAAATGAAGAAAGTTTTTTCATAGTTGCCTGGTCTTATCTATACAAATTTTTTCCACCATGTTATGAGAGGCTAATGCAGAATATTTTAAAAAATGGGTCAAATTTCATTTTTATTTAAAGACCTTTTGCTTTTCTTTAAGTCATTGTCAGCATATGTTTAGATCACTGGTGTATCAGTTTAATTTTCCTAGTAATTTTTATTACTACTTAAAGGCAAATGAATTTTTAGAAACTTATGAGTGAGTTATAGAATTTTTACAAGCATGTTAAACTACTACTAAATCTAGTTTTAATGTTTGTTATTTTTTTTAAATCACTTTGTTCTTTCTCTCATGTCTCTGTTCCCACTCCAGCTTCAGAAAACCACTGATCTATGTTTACATCTCTATAGATTGTCTTTTCTAGATGATTCAAATAAATGGACTAGCATATGTTCTGTTTATGGATTTGTTCACTTAGTGTAATGTTTTTGTAGTTCGTTGTAATATCAATATTTTATTCCTTTCAATTGCTAAATAATTTCCTAATCTATGGACTTACCTTATTTTTCCCATGCACCAGTTTGTGGAGATTTGAATTTTTCCCAAGTGTGGCTCTTTTGAATCATGCTGCCAAGAACTTTTGCATGAGTGTCTGAGAGTTCATGTTTTCATTTCTTTTAGGTCACTACTTAGCCATGGAATTTCTTGATCATATGATGAATTTATAACTTCTAAAAAATGCAAAGTGACTTTTTAGATATAAGTCACATGTTTAGGAAAATGTAGAAATGCTAGGGGAATAAATGGTTCCCAGTGTATCATCTATGATTGGTTGCAAATGTATGTAGAGCAAGGATTGGGGAAGAAAACATGTTCCTTCCTTTCAAATTATGCATTCAAGTAAAGCAAACAACTTTAAAAGAAAGTCATATAAATTTCAGTAATATTTCTTGCTAATGGTTTTTTAATGCTAAATGAGAACGAATCAGGCTTAATCAAGACTATGTTTCCATGAAAATTAGATGGTGAGCAATTTGAGAGTTATATTTTAAGTTGTTGATGAGACACAGTTTTAATGGCTTAACAGTGGTTTTCCATTCCTTCAGTGCAAAAGTTGGAGTTAGGAATAATACATTCTTTTCTGAATAGCAAAACAAACAATAAATCCCATGATAAAATATTTTCTTTAACCACGGCCCTGTATAAAGGGTATTTAATCATATCCTATTAATAGATTTGTAGACTTAAGGGTCAAAGTTCAGTTTTGACTTTATACAAAAAAAAAATCATATATTAGGGATATATCCAGGGTTGCAGCTTTCTTATTTTAAAACTTCTCCATTAGTATTTGCTCTTCTAGATCCCGTTCGTCTCAAATATTTTCATATGCTTTGTGTAGGCGTCAGTTATCATTATCAGTTAACAACATTGCCTAAAAATTTTGGTCAAGCTCCCAATTATGCCTGTAAAACCAAATTTAATTATTCTTTTCATTTTTAAATAGTTGTTGAAAAACAAATGTGTTACTTTTTACTCAAGTAAAATATACTTCACACCAGCTTTCAGTGGCAGATAGCAGTTTGATGCTATGTATAGCAGATAGGATACATGCTATAAATTTTACAAAGCAGAGTAGATGCATATTCTTCAGTAACTCCTAATATTAAAAACATAACTGTGTCTAAGAGTTGAGTCCTTTCTTGGGGAAGAGAGTTCAGAGATATAGAGCTAAGAATGAAGCAATTTGGACTTGCACATGTTCCTAAGCAGGATGAAGCATTATTAATCACCTAGAATCCTCAAGGAATTAGAAATGGACTTTCTCAGACAGAGAAGAGGGCCAAGGAGATGTAGATACTTTGAGGTAACATGGAGCCACAGCAACTTGAAAAGTTGTTTTCTGAGGGGAGGAAGGAAGCAGAAAAGCATGTATACAGTATAAATGCAGCTCGATGCCTTTCTGGACTCTTCCTTCTCCTATTCTCTCCTTCCTTATAAGCCCTAAGATGTGCCATGCAGATCAAAGAGAAACCCTGTCTCCACAGAATCAGCATGCTTACAACATGCTTAAGTAAAAGTTTTCATTTGGTGAATGAACACAAGGGAGAAATTGAGGTTCAGTGTAGTAATTCTGAAATAAAACCATAGAAATCTAGAGAGTTAGTCTGCTCACATGTCATATTTTATATTTTAAAAATCACATCTAGACTAATTTCTATAAGCGGAGGTAATATGTCTCAAGAAGAAAATGTCATTCCCAAATCAGTACGTGTGTGTGTGTGTGTGTGTGTGTGAGTGTGTGTGTGTAAAAGATGGCTTATAACTCAGCCAATTACATTGGTTTATTATGTTAGTTTATTTTTCAAAATGAAAATAAGTACTTTTATTATAGACCTCTGGAGCCAGTTATAATATTAAATCTCAGCAAAATACTGAAATAAGGCCTTTTTGTTTGCCTTTCCCAAAGAGGCCTTGAAACCTAATAGAAAGCCAGATTATAGGTATGATAGGTTTTTTTTCACACTTTGAAGGTTTGTAAAGAGTCTATCAAATCAAAATAAGAAGTTGCACCCGACGCTGCTTCCACAGAAATCACTCCACCTTTCAGTTCCTCTAGCCCTGAAAAATGATGTGCATCAGAAAACCACACATTACAGTACAAAAGCAGAACCTACTATATTAGTGAAAAGTTAGACAAAACAAAAAACATAGGTAGATATGTCTTTCAAATACACATGCTCTTGTGGGGGTTAAGATTTGAAGGACATTTAATGGACTGCTGCCCAAGACCAGTGCTTTTGGGTTCTCATATAGATTCTAGAAATATTAGGACCTGAAAATAACTGGGCATGATGACAGCTGGCATGTGACACTAGGAAGAGTAGAGAGTGTGTTATATTTCTCAGATTGTTGTTTTGAAATTGTGAGTTGGTGTTATTTATGAACATGACAATTTGAGAATGGGAGCAGAGTATACTGATGAGTATACTGGATTATCTCTTCCCCAAATTTTGTCTCTTCCTAGAATATAAAAATGAGAACTTCTTTGAAAATAAGAGATTCCTCCAGTATAACCAATCCTAACTAGTCCTAACTGATTACATTTGGTGGATATCACCAGAGGCTGAGAATGAGGCATGAAACAGATCCTCTACTGAGGTTAAAAGAAGGATCCAACCATGCCAACTTCTTAATTTTGGACTGCTGGCTTCCTGAATGGACTGGAAAACAATAGGGAATTCCCTGTTATATTAAGCCACGTCGTTTTTCATAATTCATTTTAGCAGGCATAGGACACTATTATAGTGGTTATTAAGAAAGATAATAAGTAAAAGAAAAGTCAGAGCATGATAACCAAGAAGCAGTTGTATGAGGAGCTTAGTGGAAGTTGATTTAGTTATTAGCATGTAAGAGGTAAGGATGAGACTCCTATGATAAAAATGTAGCATGAGAAGAGAGTTTGTAGAAACTAGAAACCTAGGAAATGAGTTCCCATGAGAAGCTGGAAAGAACATTGTCATAGAAACAAATGCAAGGGAGAGTAGCTATTTTATTTCTTTCCGTAGAAATACGTTTATGATAAAGAAAAAGGGAAACTGCTATTCACTGTGCCATATGTCAGGCCTCAAACTAGATGCTCTCATGTATTTCATTTACTCTTCAACCTATGGAGTTGATTTATGTCTCTGTTTTCCAA